GCCACAATGCCCGGCTATTTTTTGGTTGCAGCCGTCATTGTTGTTTTGGCAGGTCCCGGCTGGGGATTCGAACCCGCCACCTTAGGTGTACGTGGCTGGTGCCTTAGCCGGTTGAGCTATAGGTGCTGAGCCTCATCATCATCTTTGATTTGTCCCTATAGTTCTGCGCAGGTTGCATGGCTAGGGTCAGGAATAGCCTCGAATGTAGGTGGCTGTGTCAGAAGAGTTGTTGGGGCTACATTTTACCTGAACCAGTATGCAAAAATAGGCCACAGCTTGCTTACAGTGCACATTCCTTCTGGAACATGAAACAAATGGAAATCAACTTCTGGGGGTTTACATTAGTAACTTTTAAAAGGTAGTCCAAGATAAACCTGATTTTTTTCTCCTTTGATGAGCAATTCAGATGTCACATGACATCAAAGTTTCACATGAGATGCCAGGATCACCTCTAATCCTTACACCTATTTTTTCCTCTGACCTTTTGAGAATCTGATTAAAATATTGGACTTTTTTTTTAATGTACGTATGTAAATATGCACACACTTGTCAGGAAATTGTGCCTTTGGAATCTATTCCTGCAGATGGGGTTAAGAAATCCTGGCTTGGCTCAGTGCCTATAGCTCAGTGGCTAGGGCTCCAGCCATATACACTGGAGCTGGCAGGTTTAAACCCAGCCCTGGCCTGGGAAAACAGCATAGAGGTATCAGATGACCCCTGTCCAATGACAACTGCAACCAAAAAATAGTCGGGCATTGTGGGCGCCTGTAGTCCTGGTTACTTGGGAGGCTGAGGCAAGAGAATCACTTAAGCCCAAGAGTTTGAGATTGTGAGCTGTGATGCTACGGCACTTTACTGAGGGCGAACATAAGACTCTCAAAAGAAATTAAAAGAGATCCTCACTTGAGGAAAGGCCCCAGTGAGAAGACAGGAAGCCTGGGTCCTGCCTGCTTTCACTCTTCTCCCCAGGCCCTTAGCTGGTTCTTAGTGTGTTCAGCCTCAGATAGCTGTTCTTGACTTAATCAGGCTCTCGCCGTTAATTCCCCTGCCTCATGGGCCTCACAGGTGCATGTGTATAAAATGTACAGGGTTTTTGCATATCATGAGAATAAAATACAAAACCTCCTTTGCAAAATAACAGGAAGTAAAATGTGCTAGAAATTTTACAGAGCACCCTTTGTCATACTTTGGGATCATGGAATTAATAGAATTGGATCTCAACTGGTTTTGCCCCAGAACTTTACTGCCACCAAATTTGGTATGACTCTTCAGACTGTTTTCCTGCTGATGGGGGCAGTGTAATAGCTTTCATCATTTGTGTTATCTTTAA